TCAACAGACCGCAGCAACAGGCTTGATGTTCCTCCACGCCTCCATCCAAGCTCTGCGTCGCAGCCTGTCTTTCTCAAGACCCCGAATTTTCCCCACCTCACCAAGGATGTCACTCGCCACCACCTGAACAGGGAGGACCTTCTGCCGAATGGAGACCTGACACCGTGCCATCCAAGTGTAATAACGGACAACTAAGCTGACTAAAAACAGGGTGTCCAAATTAAAACCCATGCGACTCTCGAATGCTCCGTACACCCACTCCGCATACGACATGCGATGGAGGAAAGGAACACCCAGAGCCCCTCCCACCTGTTTATACACCTCTACGTTAAAGGGGCACTGAAGCAAGAAGTGGTCCATAGTCTCCACTTCACCCCCACACTCCGACCTCGGACAACCACGGTCATCCGCAGGACGGTACTTCAGGTTACCCCTCACGTAGAGCCTGCCATGGAAGGCGAGCCAGGCCTGGTCCCGCAACTTCAGGGGGATCCGCTCCAGATTTATCAACCGCAAACCCTCCCTCATAACATGGCCCGGGCAATCTCTCAAGGCCAGCGGCGCATGGAAAGCAGATGCCACAATCCTCTCACCCAGGAGCCTCCTGGGGAGGGACCGGACCTCCTCCGCAGTCACATGCCACCGCCGGAGTAACTTCAGGCACAGGGCCACATAAGCCGGGAGCTTACCATGCTTGACCCGCAGGCTTCTCACTGGCCCGCCACTCTCCCAACTGTGCAGAAAGGGTCCAAACCAGATCCGGAACAGTCCTACCCATGCAGGCGGTCTCTCTGCCAGCATATTACCAAAGTTATGTTTCAAGAACATCAGAGAGAAAAAGACCACCGGGTTGACCATACCTAGGCCACCCTCCTGCCTGGATGAGTAAGTCACGTCCCTCTTGACGAGGTTCAGCCGATTCCCCCATAACATCTGGAAGAAACAGCTATAGATCCTCGTATAGAGCGATTCTGGCAAGAGGCAAACAAAGCTGACGTACAAAAAGACTGGGAGCAGGAAAGTCTTGATCAAATCAACCCTTTCCCTCAAGGAGAGCCGCCACCCCTTCCAACATCTCACTTTGACCTCGGCATCCGACAGCTTGGATTCCCAATTTTGCTTGCTGTAATCAGCAGAGCCAAAATTGATGCCCAACACTTTGATGTTCGGCTGAGGCACCGGGAAGGCGTCCGGGAGTGAGAAGCTCTCACCCTCCCTACCCATCCAGAGAACTTCACATTTGTCCTGATTGACCTTGGAACCTGATGCCTCGGCATACTGATCCATTACTGAAACCACCTCCTGCGCCTCCTCCGGTCCAGAAATGAAAACAGAAACGTCATCAGCATAAGCCACAACTCTCAAAGGCGGATCTCCAGTGGCACCCACCAGCACCCCACTCACCGCCCCGCCATCTAGCCTCCTGACGAAGGGGTCAATGGCAAAGGCATAGAGCAAGGGACTCAGCGGGCACCCCTGGCGCACCCCAGATCCAACCTCAAAGGGCTGCCCAACCCAACCATTCACCAACATGAAGCTCTCCGCCCCTTGGTACAATGTCTTCAACCAGCCGATGAACCTCCCCTCCAAACCATACCGGTCCAGGAGATGCCAGAGGTCTTGTGATCAACTCGATCAAAGGCCTTTGCCTGATCCACCGCCAGCAAGTACTTTCCCCATCCTTCAGCCTTACATCGCTCCAGAGCCTCCCGGACAGCTAACACCGCTGTGAAGGTACTCCTGCCCCGGACCGAGCAATGCTGCTGACGAGAAAGCAAACTGTCTGCCACTGACGACAAGCGCCAGAACAAGATCTTCGCCAGAACCTTTCTATCGACATTGAGGAGGCTGATGGGCGCGCCAGTTCTCAATAGCCGAAGGATCTTTACCCTTTGACAGGAGAATAACTGCAGACTGTCTCATGGAAGGAGGGAGAGATCCCTCATCCAGACAGCTGTTATACACTTCCGCGAGACGAGGTGCCAGGCGGGATTTAAAAGCCTTAAAAAATTCGGCAGTCAGACCGTCTGGCCCAGGAGTCTTTTTAATGGCCAGACTATCAATCGCTCTGGACACCTCTTCTGCAGTAATCTCCCCAGTCAAACTCGCCAGAGGGACATCACTGTCCAGACCAGGCGTGGATTCCAAAAAGCTCGACATCCCTGTCCGGTCAAGGTGTTTCTCACTCAGTAAATCCGCATAAAAGGACCTGGAGACCTCCAGAATCCCTGACCTGGATTTAGCCAGGGACCCTGTACTATCCCTCAGAGCAGAGATCGTCTTAACTGCTGCACTCTGTTTGCAATTCTGGAAAGGGTCAGGCGAGTGGTATTTCCCATAATCCCTCTCCAGAACCAAAGAGGCACGCCGATCATACTGGAGTTCCCTAAGGAGAAGCTTCACCTCCGAGATTGCCCCCGAATCTCCACCGCTAGAAACAAGGCGGTCGAGCTTCCTCCGCAACCGCTGGTAGGCGTTATACTGTTTAAACTGCCGTCTCTTACCAATAGCCTTGAAAAACCTGCTGATCCGCACTTTGGTGAGCTCCCACCACTCAGACTTACTGCCGCAGAAATCCAGCACCGTCTCCTGCGCCTGAAAGAACTCCTCGAAAGATCGTCTCACCTCCTCGTCCTCCAGCAGAGACGAATTCATCCTCCAGATGCCCTTTCCTCTCAGCGGCGTGTCTGAAATATTCAAGGTGACAGATAGCATAAGGTGATCGGAAAACTCCACCGCCTGACACTCAGGTGCCGAGAAGGCAGAGTTCTCCTTCAAAAAAAAACCTGTCTATCCTACTCTGGCTATTACCTCTCCTAAAGGTGAAACCCGTGCCGTCTGGGACACTTTGAATCCAAGCGTCAACCAGACCTGCCTCCCTGACTATAGCATTTAGAAAATTGCTATCATATCCCAGCCCGTCAGTGAAGCCTCTCCTGTCCTTGGGCCTAGTAATGGTGTTAAAATCACCTCCAAAGACTACCAGCCGGGATGTAAAGAGGTAAGGTTTAATCCTCGCAAAGAGGTTCTTCCTGTCCCACTTGGACTGTGGGCCATAGATATTAATGAGACGGAGCTCATGCCCCCTTACGAGAACATCCAGAATCAGACATCTTCCGATCTCTACCTCAATTATCCGCCGACACGTTACCATGCCGGTAAAAAGCACCGCAACTCCGCTGTAAAGCTCAGCCGCAAGAGACCAGTAGGAGGGCCCACGCCTCCACTCACGCTTGGCCAGATGGACATCAGCCAAGGTGGGCAACCTGGTCTCCTGCAAAAAGAAAATATCAGCTTCCATCCCACTGATCAAAAATAAGGCTGTTTCTCTAGCACTTACAGACTTTATGCTGGCAACATTAATGGTTGCCACCTTTATCGGAGGGAACTGCCATTAAGATAATTGAGAGGGACGTTTCTTAATCCTCCTCTTGACTTTCTTGGCAGGGTCCCTCACTCTCTTAAGAGACCCCCCAGCATCCTCGTCCTCCATCGGGGAAGCGGGATCACTTGACCCCTCCTCCTCCCCCGACAAAGCCCCAAACCTATTCCCCAGGGCCACCTCCCCCGCCTCTAAAGAGGACACCGACCCTGCTGAGGACAAAACTGGCTTACTCCGCCTACCCACCAGGGACCACCCCTCCTCCACCCGAGCCCCTACGGAGCAGAACCTTGGGACTCACGGGACTCCCTACCGGGCCTCCTACTCCGCCGCAGCGGCAAGAGCAAGGGGGGAGCAGACACTGAGGGACTAGACCTAGCCTCAACCATCCCGGCCCCTTTAGCAGCCTCCCTCAGCTGTTTCTTAGTCCTGGGAGGAGGAACCGGCACACAAGGGGGAACAACAGGGGACTCCAAAGGGGTAGACGAAACAGGGGGGACAGAGACAGGAGGGGCCACAGAAACCTCCCCTTCCCTCACAAGGGCCGCCACAGCAACCGAAGCCGCTCTCTCCAATGCCGCCTCCGCCTCTTCAGCATCTACCCGATCCAACTCTGCTTCAAGCTCCCCCACCGGAAGGTTGTGGAGGGCCTCCGGGCACTGGTTGTATGAATGCCCAAGCTCCCCGCAGAGATTGCATCGGACAACATTGCAGTCCCTGGCCAGGTGTCCTATTTCCTGACAGGGAACATCTAATGACGGGGCAGGTGGCCGCAAAATGCCCCTTGCCCCCACACCGGTGGCAGACCCTCGGCTGACCCGCATAAAAAATTATCAGGCGGTCCTTCCCTAGAAAAGCGGAAGAGGGAATGTGCTGGAGCACATTTCCAACCACCTTTAAGCGGACGGTGGTCGTCCACCCACCTGTCCATATTCCCCTCTCATCCTTGATCTTCCCAAGGGGCCCCATCACATCCCCATATCTGCTTAGCCAGACCACAATATCTGATGCAGGGATGGATTCATTTCTCACCAGCACCGTTATTTTTTTAATCAGGGACTGGCGAGAGACGAGCCTCGGGGTTAGGCCCACCCACCTAGGGCTGGTGACAAAGGTGGCCTCATACCTCTGCCAAAAGAGGTCCAACAATTCTGGCCGCATGAAGGACACGTCATATTCTCCAGTACCAACTGGAGCAATAAACGCAAAAAAATCTGCGGCATGGAAGCCCATTTCTAATATGCGGTCTATGACCTCTCTCCTGCTAAGGGGGGGGCCCTCCCCTGACCATTTCAACTGAACAACATTTCGCCTTGCGGCGGAAGTGGGTAGGTTACCTGCCCTTGCCCGGGCCGATCCCACTGACCCCTGACCTCCCCTAACTGCAGCAGAGTAACTGAGCCCCGATCCAGCCCCAGGGGCACTCAACATCAAGGGGGCATGACCAGGGGAAGCCGCCCACACCAGCAGCAGCAACTGAAGGGGCAGATGCTGATGAGCCATGACCTGGGGGAGCCCGGGGCTGGGGACCACCCATACCAGCAGGAGAACCCACCTGAGCCGGACCCGCAGGAGCCTGGACCTGAGAACTTGGAGCCCCCTGAGGAGAAACCGGGGGACCTGCTGGTTGCACACCAGAGGCCACCATGCCCCCCAAAGGGGCGGGGCCCAGTGGGACCACCACCGGAGGGGAAACACCCTTAGCCAGGACTGTAGGGCTAACCTGCAGCTCAGACAATTTTGCAGGCATTATACCCGCTACCCCAGTGTCCAGAACCATCTCACCAACACAATCAGCAGAGTCCTTCTCCCCTTCCAGTGGCTCCCCTGCCTTTGCCAACACGTCCTTGGGGATGCGTTGCAGCATGACAAAGGCAGCATGCTCTTTCACCACCGGCTTAGCCGGCTTGCGGGGGATGACATCACTTTCAGCTTCTTCCTCTGAGTCCTCGGACGTAAACCTGAAGTCGGCTCCACGCAGCTCTGCAACCGCCTCTGCCAGGAACTGCAATCCGCCCACTATCTCCTCCTCCTCCACCTGGGTCCCCCAATCCACAGGCAGCTGCCCAGGGGGGAGGGACTCTGATGATCCTGCCACCACGCTGTCTTCCATGATAGACGCCATTTCCTCTGAGGGTGCTGTGGGCTCAACCTGCCCCTGCTCGCCTTCCACCAGCAACTCCCCCGACAATTCCTCCACCGAAGAGGCCTCCTCCACCGGACCCCGCATCGCCGCAACACTGCGGCTTCTTGCAGCCTTAAATCTCGCTTCATTCAGATACTTCTCGCTTAGGACGCCGCTCTGGCGCTGCAGCGCCGCCACATACCTCCCCTGCTGTGACACACGAAGTTCCAGCGCCTCCAGGTCCGGTTTCATGGCCTGCCGCTTAGTAGACCATACACGGTCGTAGGATGACCGGAGCTTCTTTAGCTCCAGAGTCAGCTTCTGGAGCTTGGCTTCCTCCTTCTCTATTAACCTGGCCCGAGCGGCCACACACACGGTCCGGTAGGCAGAATAAACTTCCCCCTTCCTAGGGGCCATTCCCAGGTCCTCTACTGGTGGAAAAGAGAGAGCCGGTACTAGGCCCCTCCAGGGCCTTCTCCCCGCTGGACCCAGGCCCAGGATCCGCCATCCTGCCTGGGCTGGGCAGGGCACTTTAGCCCCAGGCTTCTCGGGCCTTTCTGGAGCTCAGCAGACAAGTGCAACACACCCCTCTCAGGAATGAATTCACCAATAATGGTGGGACTCAGCTGCCTTGTGATCTGCAGTACCAGGGCTGGCCAGCGGGTGCTCCCAGCAATCAGAGACTCAACCTTTCAGCCAGCTAACACCTGGAACTGATGATGCTGGGGTATTTAAGGGATGGCCAGACCCACAGACTCTGCCTTGGTGTTGTGTTTGTCCTGGGCCCTGTATCTGTCCTGCATCCTGTTTCTGTCCCTCTGCCTGACCCTCTGTACTACGCTGCTGCTTTACCTGTTTTGATCTCTGGCTTGTGACCCTGACCATCCCTCTGCCTGACCCTCTGTACTACGCTGCTTGCTACCTGCTGAACCTGGCCTGTGACCCCGACCATTCTCTGCTTGCTCCCCCTGTACCTACCTGCCCAATTGATATTGACCCGGCCTGCCTGACGACGCTTGCTTGTATGTACTGTTATCTGTGGGTGGTTTGGTTTGGTTTGTTTGCACTGTATTTATGTTTAGTATTGCACTGCGTTTATGTTTGTATGGTTAGTGTTAATAAATTGTATTGTTTATCACATATCTGAAGTCTGCGTTTCCCTGCATCAGTCACACACCTCTGGTCATACCTGGGAGCCCTGACATTACACCAAGGCCAATCCTGACCAGAAGTGGCTGCACAGGGAAGCCATCTTGGCTTGTTGATGGGAAGGATGGATCTTGATGAGGTTGAATATTTATATCTGCTAGTGTTTGATGACAGGGAGTATGCTTATCAAACTCTGAAGGAGTATACCCGGGATGAACTGCTAGAATGTATACGGCTCGCTCATGTTCTAGTAGATCAGGGCACAGAGTTCTCTGAGGTGCAGCCTTTGATTGAGGTTTGTGCTGAGTTGGTTTCATCTGGTTCCCCCCCGAATGCAGGGATGAATTTTTGCCACCATTTAGTGCAGACCAGGTAGAGTCCCTGGTGTGGTTATTAGAGGATGATGTGGGTTACTTTCTGGAGCGTTATTCCACATGTTCACCACAGACACTAAGAGATTGTATAAACGCAGTACAGTCATTGACCAGACAGGCTTTGTGTAAGCTCAGCTTTGTTCAACCCATACTGCAGACATGGACAGATTTGTTGCACCCAGCCTCAGTCAGCTTACAAAGACCCAGTCCTGCTTCTAATCTATTTCCTCAAAACTCTATTCCTGCATTCCCAACAGCTCCTCCTGCCCTGCTATCTACCGCATGTCAGTACCCTGTTCCCACTCGCTGCACCTATCCTGCCTTTAACCCTGTAAAAGAGCCCTCTGTAGCAACCGCTCCCTCTCCTGTTCCATCCTCCAGTTCTTCTCTGTCTCCAGCTGCTCCATTCGTTTGCAGACCTGCGTTTACTTGCAGTGCTCCAGTAGTTAAAACCAGAAAAAAGCGAAAATTCTTTCCAACCAATACCATCCTGCCAGTATCCAAACCGGTGAGCCTGCCTTCCGTGGTTCAGCCTGAAGCCTCTACTCAGCCTGAAGCCTCTACTCAGCCTGAAGCCTCTACTCAGCCTGAAGCCTCTACTCAGCCTGAAGCCTCTACTCAGCCTGATGCCTCTACTCAGCCTGATGCCTCTACTCAGCCTGATGCCTCTACTCAGCCTGATGCCTCTACTCAGCCTGATGCCTCTACTTCAGCCTGATGCCTCTACTCAGCCGCAGCCTGATGCCTCTCTCGGCCTGATGCCTCTCTTCGGCCTGATGCCTCTACTCGGCCTGATGCCTCTACTCGGCCTGAGCCTCTACTCGGCCTGAAGCCTCTACTCGGCCTGAAGCCTCTACTCGGCCTGCCTCTACTCGGCCTGAAGCCTCTACTCGGCCTGAGCCTCTACTCGGCCTGAAGCCTCTCGCTCGGCCTGAAAAGCCTACTCAGCCGGTGACGCCGGCATTCAGCCTGATGCCTCTACCCAGCATGATGAACTGATCCAGCCTGACGATCCTATTAGGCCAGTTGACTCGATGCCCGCTGTTGATCCAGATGATCCGGTACCTGATCCGGTGCCCGCTGTCGAGCCAAATGACCTGATGCCTGGTGACCCAGTGCCCGCTGTCATACCTGGTGACCCGATGCCCGCTGTCGAGCCACTGCCAATCCGGTACCTGATGACCCGGTGCTCACTGTCGTGCCTGTTGACTCGGAGCCCACTGCCTTGCCAGATGACGCGGTGCCCGCTGTCGAGCCAAATGACCTGATGCCTGGTGACCCAGTGCCCGCTGTCCAGCCAGACGATCCAATGTCTGACCCAGTGCCCGCGGTCATACCAGTTGACTCGGAGCCCACTGTTGTGCCTGGTGACTCGGTGCCCGCCGCCCCGCCTGGGGGCCTGAGACCTGTCGTTCCGCCGGCCCGCCCCCGCCGCCCGCCGCTCCGGGGGCCCGTCGCCCCCGCCTGGGGGCCCGGCGCCCTCCGCCCCGCCTGGGGGCCCGCTCCGCCGCGGTCGTCCCCCCCGCCCGGGGGCCCGGTGCCTGCTGCTCCGCCCGGGGGCCCGGTGCCTGCTGCCCCGCCCGGGGGGGTCCTGCCCGGTGTGCCTGCCTGCCCGCCCGGGGGCCCGGTGCCTGCTGCTCCGCCCGGGGGCCCGATGCCATGTCGCCCCGCCCGGGGGCCCGGTGCCTGCTGCTCCGCCTGGTGGCCCGCTGCCTGCTGCTTCGCCTGGTAATCCGATGTGCCTCTGCCCGGAGTCCTGCCCGATGTGCCTCTGCCCGATGTGCCCTGCCCGATGTGCCTCTGCCCGGAGTCCTGCCCGATGTGCCTCTGCCCGGAGTCCTGCCCGATGTGCCTCTGCCCGATGTGCCTCTGCCCGTGTGCCTCTGCCCGGTGTGCCTCTGCTCGATGTGCCTCTGCCCTGCTCGATGTGCCTCTGCCCGGAGTCCAGCCTGGTGTGCCGCTGCCCGGAGTCCTGCCCGGTGTGCCAGTCTTTGATATCCCGCCAGTTACCAGACCCGGGCGGTGGAACATTTTGCCCAGCTAGGACTGTTTGGAGCGTCCTGAGGCCGCTCCTTGGGGGGGGGGGGTACTGTTAGGAATGGACTGGCCAGCAATGGTGGGACTCACCTGCCTTTTGATCTGCAGTACCAGGGCTGGCCAGCGGGTGCTCCCAGCAATCAGAGACTCAACCTTTCAGCCAGCTAACACCTGGAACTGATGATGCTGGGGTATTTAAGGGATGGCCAGACCCACAGACTCTGCCTTGGTGTTGTGTTTGTCCTGGGCCCTGTATCTGTCCTGCATCCTGTTTCTGTCCCTCTGCCTGACCCTCTGTACTACGCTGCTTGTTACCTGTTTTGATCTCTGGCTTGTGACCCTGACCATCCCTCTGCCTGACCCTCTGTACTACGCTGCTTGCTACCTGCTGAACCTGGCCTGTGACCCCGACCATTCTCTGCTTGCTCCCCCTGTACCTACCTGCCCAATTGATATTGACCCGGCCTGCCTGACGACGCTTGCTTGTATGTACTGTTATCTGTGGGTGGTTTGGTTTGGTTTGTTTGCACTGTATTATGTTTAGTATTGCACTGCGTTTATGTTTGTATGGTTAGTGTTAATAAATTGTATTGTTTATCACATATCTGAAGTCTGCGTTTCCCTGCATCAGTCACACACCTCTGGTCATACCTGGGAGCCCTGACAGTAATGCAGCACTAAATGAATAATGAATGTCATCTCCCAAATGCATGTGTATGATTGTTGCATTTTGTGACGCAAATAATACTGAGAAATATTACTCAGAAAATGAGCATCTAAAATTAAAATAAAAATAATACAAATATCTATGAGAAACATATAGTTTATGACAAGTACAAAGATATAAAATGTCCAAAATTGTACGAACTTCTTAAAGCTGATGATATCTTCAAAAAACTTCTATATAGTCCCAGAATACTGATTCCATTTGAATGAATATATATAAACATATAGAATGCGCACTCACCGGAAGCGCTAATGAAAAGCGCGTTGTATCATAAGCTCCTGGACATGCTCTGGTCCCTCAGGTATAATCAGGTGTGTAGCCGGGGATTGTCCGGCATCATTTTGGGTCCGTACCGCATTTACGCTGAGGATGGAGGCAGAGCCCGGGAGGGAAAGTGATGGCGTGCTAAAGATCAGGATCACAGTGCTGAGTCTGAACACAAATCAAAGGATTCCAGATGGGGGCAGGGACCCTCCGCGGTGTCCGACCTCTCCTGGTACAGCTCCATCTCCCAGAACCTCCGGCTTTGTCTGACCTGCTTTTCATTAGCGCTTCCGCTGAGTGCGCATTCTATATGTTTTTATATATATTCATCCAAATGGAATCAGTATTCTGGGACTATATAGAAGTTTTTTGAAGATATCATCAGCTTTAAGAAGTTCATACAATTTTTTACATTTTATATCTTTGTACTTGTCATGACTATATGTTTCTCATAGATATTTGTATTATTTTTATTTTAATTTTATATGCTCATTTTCTGAGTAATGTTTCTCAGTATTATTTGCGTCACAAAACGCATCAATCATACACATGCGTTTGGGAGACGACATTCATTATTCATTTAGCGCTGCACTATTTTTTTATTGATTCATTTGAGGGCTTTCTTGGTGTACCCTTTAGTGTGTTCAGCTGCTCATTACCGTTATCAATATTAGGGCTCGCTCCACTATCTATACATCTATGCATGAATGTAAGTTAGGGACCTTAGATTGTACACCCCTTGAGGGTTAGGGACTGTGAATGTGAATGTACAATATATATATATGTAAAGCGCTACGTAAATTGACAGCGTTATATAAGTACCTGAAATAAATAAATACATTTGTACCGGGGTAATATGATATCTCTCTCACTGGAGTCTATACCTCTTTTAATACAAGAGAGGAGATTTTGCTCGCTTTAGAAACTGCAGCTTGGCATTGCATGCCATTATTAAGCTTGTGATCTACCAGAACTCCCAGATCCTTCTCCACCATTGATTCCCCCAGTTGTACCCCCCTAGTATGTATGATGCATGCATATTCTTAGTCCCCAAGTGCAGAACCTTACATTTATCAATATTAAACCTCATTTGCCACATAGTTGCCCAATTACACAGTGCATTGAGGTCGGCTTGTAAATTGGAGACATCCTGTAAAGACGTTATTCCACTGCACAGCTTGGTGTCATCTGCAAAGATTTTTAATCCCAGACCCTATATCGTTTATAAATATATTAAAAAGTAAGGGTCCCAACACTGAACTTTGGGGTGCACCACTGACACCCCTAGACCATTCAGAGTATGAATCGTTAACCACTACTCCCTGAATACGATCTTTTAGCCAGTTTTCTATCCATTTAATTACGGATTTTTCCAAGCCTGTAGACGTTCCCTTTACACATTAGCCGTATGTGGGGAACTGTGTCAAATGCATTTGCAAAATCCAAGTATACGATATCTACAGGCATGCCTTTGTCTACAGTTTTGCTTACCTCCTCATAGAAAGAAATCAGATTTGTTCAACTTCTGTTTTTAATGAATCCATGCTGCCTATTGCTTAAAATATTTTTTGTCCAGCAAGAACTCATCGATGTAGTCTTTTATTAACCAGTTGCCCTCTGCCCTATAGCAGAAGTACTGCTACATTTCGGCAGGGCTGTGCAAAATCACACATATATATATATATATATATATATATATGTGATTTGCATTTCTAGTAGGGCACACATGCCACCCTAGCCACACCGCTATTGGCGGCCAGAGATGTCAGTCACCAGGTCCTGACCAGCGATCGCCGGCCGGCACTCGGCGATTGTCAGGGAAAACTGACAGAGGAGAGACCTATGTGTAAACATAGGTCTCTCCTGTCAGCATGGACATGCTGTTTTGTATCTCTCTGCACAGCGAGCCTACCCAGTAAAACACAGCACAGTTAACCCTTTGATCACTCCAGATGTTAACCCCTACCTGCCCAATGTCATTAGTACAGTGTCAGTGCTTTATATTAACGCTGATCCCGTTATAAGTCGCTGATCGCCGCCATTACTAGTATAAAAAAAAATTCCAGTATATATACCGCCATTTGTAGATGCTATAACTTTCATGTAAACCATTTAAATTTACACGTATTTAGATTGTTTTTAGCAAAGACATGTAGCAGAATACATTTTGCCCTAAATTTATGAAGAAATTATATATTTTAAATACCTTTATTTGATATGTTTTATAGCAAAAAGTCAAAAAATATTTAAATTTTTTAATTTGTCTGTATTTTTTGTTCATAGCACAAAAAATAAAAATGCAGAGGTGATCAAATACCACCAAAGAAAGCTCTATTTGTGGGGAAAAAAAAGGACATAAATTTAATTTATGTACAGTGCTGCATGACCGCACAATTATCAGTTAAAATTACGTAGCAATGTATTGCAAAACATGGCCTGGTCAAGAAGGGGGGAAATCCTCTGGAGGGCAAGTGGTTAAACTCTACAGTATCTTCCCAACTATAGAAGTTAAAAAATAACAGGTTTATAGTTACTTGGTAAATACACTATGTTGCCAAAAGTATCGAGCCACCCCTCCAAATCATTGGATTCAGGTTTCCCAATCACCTCCATGGCCACAGGTGTATAAAATCAAGCACCTAGGCATGCAGACTGCTTCTACAAACAGTTGTTAAAAAATGGGTCGCTCTCAGGAGCTCAGTGAATTCAAGTGTGGTACTGTGATAGGTTGCCACCTTTGCAATGAGTCCATCCGTGACATTTCCTTGCTACTAAATATTCCACGGTCAACTGTTAGTGATATTATAACAAAGTGGAAGCAACTGGGAACAACAGCAATTCAGCCACGAAGTGGTAGGCCACGTAAAATGACAGAGCGGGGTCAGCGTAGTGCGCAGAAGTCGCCATGTGTCTGCAGAGTCAATAGCTAAAGACCTCCAAACTTTGTGTGGGCTTCAGATTAGCACAACAGTGCATAGAGAGCTTCATGGAATGAGTTTCCATGGCCGAGCTGCTGCATCCAAAACATCACCAAGTGCAATGCAAAGTGTCGGATGCTGTGGTGTAAAGCACGCTGCCACTGGACTCTAGAGCAGTGGAGACGTGTTCTCTGGAGTGACGAATCACGCTTCTCTGTCTGTCAATCAAATGGACGTGTCTGGGTTTGGCAGTTGCCAGGAGAATGGTACTTGCCTGGCTGCATTGTGCCAAGTGTTTAGTTTGGTGGAGGGGGGATTATTGTAAAGAGTTGA